ACGCTTCATTGCCATATAAACGACAATTATTTCGTTTGACAAACCACACGGTAAAGAATATGTAACGTGTTTCAGTTCCGAGAATGCCAATTCCTTGGATGCACCAAGGTAACTAGTTACTATCACATGTATAACTACTACTCTAGAAAGTTCATTACCTTCTCATAATTATTTTATAAGTGTTCTTGGTATAACAAACTCCTTCTCAAAAAGGCCGGAGGAAAATAACTAACGACCTGCAGGAGATGATACAAGCATTCAAACGATTTATGGATTCACGTATATGTTGCATAAAGAATTTGCAATTCATGGTTGGAAACACCTCCTCTGACCTGGCAAAACGTTTTGTAGATGTGCTTGGAGCAAGACAGATTATGAGTTGGAAACATTCCAAAATATATCAGACTGGAGGAACTTGGTATTGAGCGATTATTAACAAGCAGATTGTAATAAAAAATTCAAAAGCTTAAACGTTTACATATTCAGACTAAGAGAATGTGATGTGTACTAGTTACCAACGACATCCAGTTCCATTTATACTTCAAACAGTTCTTTGTGACATAACATTTTACGGCAAACATTAGCGGCTTGTTTACATCGTGTGAATAAGAATTGAATATTACCCAGATTGCTGACGTCCAATAAAAAGAGAAAGTGGGAAAGAGCGGCACCTTGTTACATCTCCGAGTATACAAGGAGAGTCACAAGCTACAATGAGTAGGATCGTTAAGCAACTGATACAGGACTTGAAAAATGCCTACATCTTCACCTTTCTCCGAGAACACATTCAGCAATATATGTCTAACCCGGCAACAAGGTCTTGTTTTATTAAAATAAAGTAACTTCAAAACTTTCGCATTTCCCATTTATACCATTTTTCATTTCGTTTCTGAATTAGCATTATCGTGCAATTGTTTGTTATGACTGATTGGTTTTGCGAGCAACAGCACAGACCTGCTACCCCTTCTGCGTTTACGAACGCACAGTTTTCTATTAGTTCGCGCGTCATTCTTCAATGTACAAAGAGAAGAGAATGGATGAAAGCCCCATTTTCTCATAAAACCGGGACAGAACTCTTCATGAGCCATATCTATATTATATATATATATATATATATATATATATATATATATATA